CTGTATAGGCGTGATCCGAAACACCTAATGTGGTTTGATTAAGGATTGTTGTAAGGCAAATATAGATCTAAATCTTTTTTGTGGATTGTACGGTTGTATAATTCGCATATTTTATATTGGAGTGTACAAGGGGGTGAAAATTAACAATTTAAAGGCAACTTTCACTAAATTTTATTTTGTTTATCAACTCGGCTGGGCAGCGTTCGGGTAGCTACGACACATCTTCTCGTCACACATACCTCAAAACCTTAAAACGAAATGGTTCAACCAGTGCATGTAGCCAGTGATGACTTACGGAACTGAGACGTGGTCCTTCACTGCTGGCCGTATGAGGAAGCTCAAGGTCGCTCAGCGAGCTATGGTGAGGGCTATGCTCGGAGTTTCTCTGCGTGATAAACTTAGGAATGAGGATATCCGCAATAGAACCAGAGTGACCGACATAGCCCAACGGATTAGTAAGCTGAAGTGGCAGTGGGCCGGCCATATAGCTCGAAGAACCGACAACCGATGGGGAAGAAAGGTTTTCGAGTGGCAGCCTCGTACCGGTAGGCGAAGTGTAGGGCGACCCCCCACGAGATGGAGTGACGACCTGGTAAGACATGCAGGAAGTCGATGGATGCAAGTGGCTCAGGACCGTGCCTTGTGGCATTCCTTGGAGGAGGCCTATGTTCAGCAGTGGAATTGTGAAGGGCTGTAATGATGATGAATGATGATCCACATAGTCAACTCTCTAAGCTTAAAATCCCTTACTTAAAAACTCATCCTTAGCATCTAAAATCCCCGTACTTCAGCGACTACTGCTTCATCATTGCGCAATTTTGTTTATCTGATCTATTGATTATTACCAAGCATTGACTATCCCAGAAAATCTTACCGGCGGAAGAAACTGCCTTAAATTTCTTAGATGGTCTTTTTCAAATCAGACTGTAATTTTATTTCGGGATTGTTATAAAGCGACGTTTTAAACATTGATATTATTGTAACAAATCCAAAAGGCTAAATTTTTTTCCGCATCAGTAAGCATTCTGCGTATGCAACACAAGGATACGTTTTTCATCCCCGAGTATTCATATAAAATGTAATGAACACTACCTACAAAAATCTGATACTTCAGGGAATAAAAGTTACCATGACCATCTGTTAAAACATTTCTTTTACTTTTTTAACGTTTTATTTGGTCATTGATATCGTAAGGCGTCCTGAGTGAGGGTCATCTTTGGTGAATGTTTAAATGTGTAATTATAGAATACGGCAGAGCATTTAGCCCTAATGTATCCCGTAAATGTTAATTGACTTGTTCCGTAGTGTATTTTTTTTCAAACATTAACTACCGAAGATATTTAATAACTATTAAAGTATCACGTACTTATCTACTTAATAATAGTGAGAAGTTAATTATTTTCCAATATTACCAACACTATAAACCACAAACATATTTTTTTTTTCAGTTTATTTTTGATTATATGATTTTAGCTTTACTATATATTTTGAATAGTTTGGGCCGTATTATTACTTTCTTTGGCGTTTCTTGTTTATAATGTATACAAAAAAGATGAAATGAAAATTAAGATTAATCACTTAAAATTGTTTAAAGATTCATAAATATTCTCCTCTTAATTATTTTCAAAGACATATTTAATAATAGTAATCCTCTTCAACAGCCTATAACCTGTATGTTGTTCGATTTAGCCTTGGCGTAGTAGATGCTTTATAAATAGAACCAATTTATATTTATAGAATTGATCTATGACAAATACCTTGTATTTTTAACGTATACGATGCGCGTTCATTAACTATAAAGTTAAAAGTAAGCACCAATATATAATTTAAGGAAAATATTCCACACTTTTACGAAAGTCATCGCGAAATGTGCTCGCACTTTATTTTAACATTTGAAGTTGTGAATCGTAAATTGTAAAATACAAAATTCAGCGTGGAGACAACATATAAATAATTACAGACATTGTGCCTATCAGTTACACGCAATGTTGTATGTGTGTTCAGTAAAGTCTAAAGCGTGACAGATAAGTCGTATTAGATGAAGAAAGAGATGACCATAAGCTTCGCAAACGACAGTTGCGCGAGCTTTCTCATGTCAATAAGGTGCGATTTGTGTGCTATTGCGTCATTACGTCTCGTCATCGCCGTAGCTCTCTTCAGGACTTACAAATTTAACGCAAGGAGGTACAATTGCGCTGAGTCTATTGTATTGTTGAGCATGTACTTAGCGCCTTATGTTGCAATCTCTTATAGAGAGAGGTTAACAATAGCGGATGTTGAATCATAATTACCGCATATTTATATGGCCTCAGCCTTCTCTCAAAATCTTTGCCCACATAATATAAGCACTTGTTGAACACCAACTTCTGATGTCAGTATTAGCTGCAGAACAAAAGTTCGTACGTACAGCAATAGAGTACAATCTATCTATCCATCCGAACACAGTGTGCATTTTTTCAAGGGAAGAGTGAACAGGCTTTTGTTAAGCCAAATCAGTGTGCCCTATCATCTTCAGCTAAATCACTATTTACAATTAGTTGGGATAGTTCTAAAGCATTCACTTACAGTAGTTTAAAAGCTACTTTCGCAACTCACTAGTGTATGTATTATGGACCAAGTGATTAATAGGGCATTATTCATAATGCCCAATATGAGTAGGCAATGTGATAAAAGGTGTACAAATAACTAAATTGACCGGGCTTTATTAAAAAAGTCTGTTACTTGTTGGGCAAACTAATGAAAAGGAAGGTTAGGTTAGGTTAGGTATTTTTGATGACATATATAACACTTAATCACAATGGGAATAAAGTCTTTCATCGAAGGTATTTTTTCTTTGTAACTTAAAGAAAGGAATCCGTCATTACTGCAATTTGATACTGCAAAGTGGTTTTTCCCTTCCTTCACATTTTCTGCCGACTTCCAAAAAGGAGACGGTACTCAATTAGACTATATGTTTTTTTTTATGTGTGTAACCTCATAACTTTTTACTGGGTGAACCGATTTCGATAATTCTTTTTTTATTTGAAAGCTAATACTTCTCGTGTGGTCCCATATGAATTTGATCAAGGTCAGATCAATAGTTATTAAGTTATTCTTAATAACTTATATTGAAGTTGGCTGTACAAAATTTTTAATTTTTAATTATTAAACTTGTTAATTTCACATTTGGTACATTATTAACTTACAGTCTTAAAAATGATTACCATGGTTATGTTAGGTTAAGTTATAACAAACTGCTTAACAGTTACGTAGCAATATTCATAATGACCAGAGAATGTGACAATTAATGAAGTTTAAATCAGTATCTAGATATTAATTACACAGCCCGATTTGACTTGTCATTATTCATATTGCCCGAGAATCATAAATAGTGGCCAGATGAATCACTTGGTTCAGAACATATACAATACGACATTAAGTCTTTAGAGCCGTCGAGTATTCCCAGCGTTAAGTCATATAAGGCTCTATTCTTAAATCTGATATATTTTGCACCAATATTGGATGTCTTTCATATATTCATATTTTTACTGATTACATAATAAAATTAAGAACTAATTCAAAGCCTTTACGAAATTAGTCTTTTTTTAACAATCAGAGACTCAAAGGAATTACGTATGCAAGAAATGCTGCCCTCTCTGAGAGGCTCTGTAGGAGTTAAGAACTAAAAAATTGTCCAATATTTCACAAAATTTCATAAAAAAGCCCTCAGAGAACTTCGATTGATTGCAATCAGTTGTAACGATACAAGGAGGTTTATACAGCTTAATAAAAAAGGTAACATGCTATCCTTATTATTAATTTATTTATAATTAAAAACCATTTTTAAGTGACCTTATTTAATATAAAATTGAACTGTACATTTATTAAAACATTCAGAAGCAGTGTTTAAAATTTAATTCATTGTAATTAATTTAATATGTTAATATATACCTACGTCCATTTATAGAGTAATATCAAATCCGGTATTGACCCGTCTGATCAACGATCATTTTATTTAATATATTTTTATGGCTACTTGATTATGACATTGAATGTAAAAATTACCAACAAGTTTCACACGCAGCTATTAAATGTGTGACACGAGCCTTAGAGAAAATATAAATGTCGCAACAATAATGACTTGACTTCTAAACTTAAATGCTGAAACCGGTATTCTCATCCATGACCAAATTGAGCTTTGAAAGTGAACATTGCATCGCCTTTTACAAATATTTGTGAACATGATTATGAGAACCGTATATGTATATATGATATATGTATATATGATATATATATATATATATATATATATGTGTGTGTGTGTATGTATGTATAGGTTAGTTGCCGCCTAAAAGCTAGGTAGTAATTAACGTAAAACCACATTAAGAGCTTATACGTGTTTCAATATAACTGCTTTCTAAAATAAAATACGATGCAGTACTTATAAAAAAATAAAAAAGTAACTTATACAGGTGAAAATTATCTTTTAATAAAATAAAAAAAGCTCTTGGCACGATCTCGTCTCGCAGACTTCTAGTTTTCATGAATGAAAATTGTTCTGGGCGGAGTTGAAGTATGGGCTTAGGCGGTGCTGCAGGATGCAATGTACGGCCGCTTTTATCTTACATATTTTAAAAGCAATATTTCGCAGCCTTCATTGAGAAATACGCGCCCTCATTCGTGATGTCAGTCGGCTGTAGTTGGGCAACAAACACCCGATTTCCACATGAGAAATTAGATCAAATTTTCGCGGTATTAGCTGCGACATGATGTCTCATAAGTCGATAACAGGCATTACATAAAGCTCGACGGTGTGAGATTCACCAAAGCAAATAGTCGATGAAAGTGACAATGTTCTAACTAGTTTTGAGCAGTCCGGTGCTCAGATGTAAACGGACACTATCGATGTTGTTTTAGAAAGTATTAGCATACACTTTTTTCATTGGACTGCTGATTGTAAATAAACAGAAACTTTTGAAGGTTCACGAATGAACTGTGACGGATATTAGTAAAGTACTTACAGTGCTGTCCTGGCGAGCATGTTGGCGACGGCTAACTTGTGGGCCTTCGTGCGTAGTTGTCTGCGGTGCTTTGCGCACGGCCCGGCTCACTCGGGCTGCTGACTGCAACATAAACCTCACGTCAGCACACGCGCCTTTCCCAAACGATACACAATTGCGACAGTAAAGCTTGATGAGGAAGCTACATCACACATTTAAATGCAACGTTAATGTCAAAGAGCGTTTAAATGCCAATAGTGGCGACCTTTCGGTTTTGAACTAGGTTGCGCAAGCGAGGATCGCCGGTGATCGTGTGAGAAAGGCGAGTGCGTGCAGGGACGTAAATGGGTGGTGGAACGCACCGGTGGGGGACTGCGGGGAAGTATTACACCGCTGGCGACGCGCTGCCGAACGGCGACTAACCTCGCCGCTGCGCGTGCACCTCTTACTTATAGCCCTCGGACGCACGCCCGCGCTCCGCCCGACGTCACCAGCTCACCCTCGGAACTTCATGCACCTCGGAACTCGACACCGTATCGCTTAACCGACACACTGACTGCAGCTGATCTCCTTAGCCGTCCTCCTCACCAACACCACACATCGTAGACCTTGTACAGGCAGATCCGATGCTTATGAAAAAACTCACATTGATATTGCAGAATACAAATGGTCCATGTTATACACGTATACATACGTGCGCTGGTGAAACTTAAGTGTTAAAAGTTTAAAACTTTTATTATTGAGCACTATTTAATAGGTACGTAGCTTTAACGCATTAATACGAGTATGAAAGACATAAACGCGTGACACGAAGTTTGTATGGTTGTTTTTAAAAATGCCAGAGGTAGGAAATAGCCAGATGAGATACATATAATTAATTATCCCATACTTTAAATCATAATTATCAGGATGGATAGTGGTAGGCATACGTATTGCTTATAATTTTTTTTGTAACCTGTCATTCAACCACGAAAGCAATGCTAATTTTTAGACATTAAAATTAAAGTTACAGCCAACTACGTCACACTCCTGGGTACAGACCTGCTGTCATTTCTGAGAAGATATTAGGGCTAGGAAAAGTCCACCGTGCTGGCCTGATGTGTGTTGGTGGATTCACATGTATTCGAAATATTTTTTTTTAATTTCTTAGACATGCTGGTTTAGGTCGGCAACGCCACATACATTCAGCATCGTGTTTTAACCGCAAAATTTCGAACGAAAAACTACTGTACGTGTCTGATAGGTCCAAGATTTTATATGGATTTGCTGCGTTCGGAATTACGAATGTATGTGGCCGGCCTTAATCACTATGTTTCCTTCACCGTAGAGCACGTGGTAAATCAGCACTTAAAATTGTAATGAACAATTTCATTAATGCGAGCGGGGTTCGAACACGGGTTGCTTGTGTATATTTACAGCGAGCGCTTGCCCCTGAGCTACCACAGGTTTTTTTGGACATTAATAGCCGAAAATGTTTCCACTCCACAACCATGTGTCCAAACTCCACTTAGATAATGTAGTGTATAAATAACTAGTTACTATAGTCCATGGATTCTTGCAACCAATTTTAAAGAAAGAAGGCTTCAAATGCTTTGTTAACTCCAAGCCGTAATGCGTCACCGTCTGTAATTTACATAAGTAGTTTTCTTATCCTTTAAACCAGAACAAAACAGTAGTACCACAGCTGCTTAGCAATGAAAAAAGGTCTTATGTACTTTTTACCTCATGTTACCCACCCAGACGGACAGGACAGAGCATGAGCATAATTGTCAGGAGCAAACGTTCTCTATTTTAAATTAATCAATACATCCAGCAAATCCGTCGTAGATAATGATGGCATCTCTGTAGAAATTATTTTTTGAGTTCTGTCATGGTGGCGAGCTTATTAGGACAAGGATTGGCTCTTCGATTAATAACTTTCAAACGCCTGCATCCGTCAACCAGGAAGTGTCGCTAAGCTCATGCAAACAAGTCAAATAAGATAATAAATAAGAATTACATGTGCCGACTGGAAGTGCGGTCCACTCTAGGTAATGCATCAAAAAGTCAAGGACGTACGACTCACTCGTCACTGACCAGTTCTTGCTCTTCTTCGTAGTAGTCTTGAATTTTAATGATTATATAAATAAAATAAGCATTAATCGGTCTCGTATAATTTCGACGTTTGTATATTTTTTTCAAATACAATTTTTATGGTAGTAAGTTGTATAAAAATTAAAATCAGAAAAAACGTATTGCTTGTCAATTCGTCTAATTAATGTCGTTATTACTTAGTGGTATTTTTAAATGATTGAATTGTTATTTTAATCCAAAACTTTGCTTTATTATTCCATTTGCTCAAGAACAAGTTTAGTATCAGGTTTGTGCGCAATAAAACAGCGGAAAATTTTAAATTTCTTTATTGACAATGCGTAAAATGATTATAGCATATCATTAGTGTAATCCTCAAAAATAGTTAATCCCTTGTATCAAAATAATGATCAAATTTTGTATTACGTGTACTTGACATCTATTTAAAAAATTACTAGCTAAACTTCTTTTGCAACTGGTGAAAAAAAAATTACATTCATATCACAATACACTTACAAGTACTTATAGATAAATTGAGCTAAGTATTTACAAATTTGGTTAACAAAGCTGCGACGCGCGGGTATTCACTGCGTCCAAGCCTAACAAATCTTTTAAACATTCTACTGTTCTGATTTTACTATACTGATACTGCCGATTTTATTTGCTGTTTTACCCTTAAACCACGCGGATACTAAAAATGTTAAAGAAAGGAGCCTCTTTAAAAATCCAATAAAGTATGCTGTGTTTTTGTCATAAAGCACAGGAAATCGAGAAATAAACTTACAATATGAGCTCTATCTTGACATTCTCAGTTGAGTTTATGTCGGTTATAATACACTAATACTTGTAACACGTTAAAGATGTAAATTTTAAATCAGATAAGGTACAGTTTATTGGCAGTTATCATTTAATTTGAAGACCTAAAATTACCTATATTATTCGCGTGAATCGAGCTTATTAATAATTTATTTACAGTTAAGGATATAAAAAGTTCTATATTTTTATTATACTTTGGAATTGAAGACATGAATCAATCAAAGTATTGTTAAACTGTAACAGTTGCTAAAAATTTACATTATCATAAAATGTAAAGGTTACTACTTATCATAAAAACTATGTGCATATATGTGTAACATGTGATTGTCGGTTTTATAATGCAAGATTATATTTTAATCCCTCATCTTAAATACGTGCAAATTATTTTTTTCTAAACTTATTTTGATTTGTGAAAAAAATTACACAAGAGTTTGGCATGAATTCGACCGTTTATTGCAGATATCCAAAATGTATAACACTGTCAACAAATATTATTGATAAAATAATTTCAATTCATAAAAAGATTTACCTCAGCATATTTGAAACCAAAGTTAAGGAAAAGGTTCGTCTTTTCGGAAAGGCTCATCGAACTGGTTTTATCAGTTTTCCTGTTGTTCGATGAGCTAAAGAAAGCTATTGAGCCTTATTTCGGGCGTGCCTCATACTTAAAGTATTTCGCATGTTTAAAAGTGATGAGAACATGCTGAAGAGCTAAGTATAGTTTATTAAGTGAATTTGAAACTTATTTGGGTTTTATCTTTACTATAACATGCGTTTTAAGGTATTTTATTATTTTAAGACAAATATTTAATGTTTTGATACCTATACATAATTATCAATCATTATATCGTATTTGACGGTTACTAAGTGAAGATCAACAAACGCAAACAACTCTTCTGATGCCCATTATGAAAAAGTACTGGATACGATGCTTTGGATAAAATTGTCTTGTCACTGCCTTACTCGGTGCTACTTATATTATTAAAATACTTTCTAAGAGTTCTCAAGACATACATTTTTACTTTTTAATACAGTGTAATGACCACATAGATTTCAAAGTGAAATAATCATCTTATTTGTATATTTTCAAATACTTAAATTCTAATTATAATTAAAATGGAAAATCGATCAAAATTTTGTCACTACTAAAAGTAGCGAATACAAATTATTTATGGTGATGTCAATTGATGTACTTTTTCCAAACGTGTAAGCTATATGACTAGACTGAAATAGACTTGTGTTTACGGATTAACGTTTCTGTAACATATAAGATCGGATTCCAAAAATATCAATTTGTATTTTAGCACAAATGTTGGCCAGGGCTGAATTAGAAACTAGGCCTTGGGCCTTATGCATTTTAACCACAAGGATACACGGTCATAAGTATATCTACAGAGTAAAAAAAAAACACATATTTTATAACCAATAAAACTATCGCAAAAACAAGCTAAAACTTAAATTTTAAAAACACTGCCATAAATTTAAACAATATCCATCTTTTTTACAAAACTTGGTTTAAACTAACTCAAGCGTAAACCATAGTAGTTTAAACCTTGGGTTTAAACTACTATGGTTTACGACTGGTACTCCAGTACCAGTCGTTTGACAATGTAATTATAATAAAAATTTAAACTAAATAATTGTATTTAAGTCCACATATTTCCGCAGGGGTTATTGCGTGAAATAGAACCTTTAGTGGTTAACCTGAGAATAACTATAAGCTATTTGTTGTAATAAAACAGCATGAGTCACACAAATTGTGCGGAACCCACGCCCCGCAGTACCCCCTAAGCGCAAAGAAGATGTAACATCTGCCAAATTACAAATAAGTATATGTGTCAATGATTCTTGATTCTTAGATTATAAGCCCCTGTGGGTTTAAAGACAGTCAATATCGATCACGAACTACAAGAAATTTTTTTTAATTATTTCAAAAATGTCTAGGACTTAATTTAATCAACATTTTTGACCTTTTGCCTTAGAGAATAAACAGTGAAGGTAGCAAAAGTATTTGGGCATAAGAGTATTAACATATCGCTACCGAATGTAGTCATTGAGAGAGGATGGGAAGATCGCATTAATATGACGTTAGCTACTTGAACAAGTTTGAAAACTATCGCAATGTGAAATACGAAAATACAGAAAAATAAACTTT